ATTCGCCGTCGTCTTCTGGTGGAACCGACCTTCGAATCTCTTCACCCAACACTTTACTCGAAATGGAAGTGAACCCAACAATTATGAAACAAGAGATTCCTCGAAAACCAACTTTTCTTCGTATACATCTGACACTGATTTACTGGTAGTCTCGAAACCCTACTCTTATACGAATATAAGTAACGTTGTCGATTGCTATAGTAAACATACATTTGCTTCATCGGCACTCCAACCAAAGAATATGATATAGCAGGCTATGTGAAATTCAATGGAAACGTCAACTCAATTCATATCATCGTGGGAAAATTCTACTACCAGTCCTTCATCACCTTACACATCTCAGCTCATAGACGGACCAAATACTTGCTCATAGATGAAGCCGTTGGATGTGTGATGGGTAGTTCTTATTGTTAGGTTGATTTATCGTTTTATAGACTTCCGATTCCCTATACCTCCGTGCTATCATCTTTTTTCAAAGCTCTCCAGTAGTGCGGTGAGAGCTTTTTCTCTTGTGATATTAGTGTACATGGAGTGTACATCCAAGCTGTCTGGACTATGAGGTTCGTCATTCTAGAAGCACCTTCACTTTTGACGATACAATATTCGAGTTGAAGATGCAATGACAAAACTGGTCAGGATCAGAAAGTTATCTTTTTACGTTATACTTTTAATTTAGTTTGAAAGAGCATGATTTAAAGCTTTATGAAATTTCACCAAACAATTCTACGAACCTCTTTTATGCGAAGAAAAGTTGGGTTTCGAGTAATCTATTGGTTTTCTAAATGTTGAGCTTATTTCCATTTCGACTGAAGGGTTTTAATGAAGAGATTTTAAGGTCGATCCCACCAGAAGACAACTAGTCTAACTGTCAATTGGCTTTACTGGGAAATTCTTGTTTAAACTGTTTCCGAGGCAATCTCCCTTGCTTCCGGTGAAAACTTGCTTAGCTTATGGCAGCTCGTATTACAAACATCACCAGGTCAGGGTATCTGCTTTCAAAACACTCCGATTATTTTGGCGTAAATACATACTATTCTTAGCCCATTCTGACGATTTGTCTGTCAAGGCTAGAGAAGCTAAGAATAGTATAGAAAGAGAAGTAATTTCTCCTTTTTACCGCGCAAAATTATGTATGGCAAATAGATCAATCAGCCAATCTTATTGTCATTTTATTATCAGGGATTATTTTAGTTCCGGTTATCGCCATTTATTGTGATTTTTCTGCAATATGAGTCTCGTTTAGGATGAAATTCCTACTCAAAATCTTTACCTTCTTACATTAACATCCACATACATATAATCTATGAGTTTCCTTTGTTCGTTTCAGTGTATTGAGCTACTAATCGACATTCTAGAATGTCTAAGTATTGACTGGAACAATGTAATCACATCGAAACGGCTTGATTTTTCTCGTCCTGGCAGCACTTCCGTTTCTGCTGGCAATACAAATGACACTATTTTACCCATGACTGATCGCACCGTAGCACCCTACAATCTTTTGCTGCCGCTGTCTGACAGGCCAGCCGAAGCTGCCGGACTGGCACACGCCCTGATTTCTGGATTATGGACTCGTCTTTCTCGTCCTGTTTGGCTCACTGTATCTGGTGACCATTTATACAATCGGTTCTCTTCAAGTCATATGGATGCCAACAAGCTTTCTGAACCAGGTAAGTGACCCTCTGCACTCCTTTTATCTCAACTCGAACTATTTGGGGAGGATAATAAGGGATACCATTTATTTGACGCTTTAATTAAATGTATGACCTTTTGCAACCTTTCGAAGGTATGAACATCACGATCGTGTGACTATTGGCATGGTCGCAATCTCCCTTTGATGTATATAAGTGGGTTGACCTCGTTTTCGCAATTTGATCATCTTTTTAGGAAGACTAAGTTGCACGCACCTTGTCCGAAGTCTTCTGCCATTTCAGTTATCATTACTCTTAGCGTCAGACCGTGGACTTGGTACAATCTCGGACGTTTCGCCGCCATCGTAGTCTCCAGCATCAGTGAGTATTGCCATTCTCAGCACCAAA